TCATTCAGGCCCCGACATTGTAGTACCCTTGTAGATCTTTTTTTGGCCAAATCATCAATGCCTCTGTGCTAATTCGTTCTGTTGCTTGTGAGCCGGCAGTCAGGAGAGGGCCCGCCGTGTGGAGGCGGAGCTGCGGCAGCAGGAGAAGTATCTCGCGACCGCGCAGGCCGGGGGCCCCTTTACAGTAAACCCCATAAAGTTGGAAACCGGATTAAGGCCAAACAGTGCTGGGATTCCCTATACATTACTCTTTAGGATTGAGGCTATTGGGCCCTGAGCCCTAAACCTCAAGGGGCTTCGAAGCGGAGAACCTTCGTTTGGTGCAAATGCTGGGCGTGTGGTTGAGCAGAGTTGCGGTGCAGAGCTCTCTTCGCGGTTTAGGGATTACTATAGGGGCTTTAATAGTTAGAGGAGAGTTTTGGGGTTTATTCTGCTGCAACTACAATAAGGAGCCCCCCCCCCCACAATAGTGTTGGTAAATATTTCGGCTCCTATACTAAGTCCTTATAGTAGCCCTTACAGTGACCCTTATAGACGCCTTTAAAGGAACCCTAAACCCGAATTACTAAGGCCCCTATAGCATCAGGGGTTTACGGTTTAGGGTCTGGGGCTGAGAGCAGTACTCAGACTCTGCTTTGCACGGGGTAATGTAGTAACCTGATTAAGAAACCTTGGGCTTTAGGGGTCCTTTAAAGGGATCTATCGGGGTTACTATAAGGGATCTACAAGGGTGTAGGAACCTGATTAAGAAACCTTGGGCCTTTCTTAGGGTTCCTTATATGAATCCTACTATTTGGGGGTTATAGGGCCAGGGTTTCTTAAGCAGGTTCCTACTTTCATGGTATTCTTTTGGAGGGAATCCTTGTCGTTCCCTGAAACGGATCTTTTGGCGGTTGTAGGGCCAGGGTTTCCTGATCAGGTTCCGACATTAGGTTGCTTGACTGCGGAGTCCTGAGCCCCAAACCCTCAAACCCCGAGGCTTTGAAACCTTAAGCTTGACATGGGAGTTTCCGAAAATTAGGGGTACTTGTAACGGGATCTATAAGGGTTCCATAAGGGTTCTATAGGGTTTAGGGTTTAGAGTTTCCCAGAATAGGGGGTACCTTATTTGGGGGTCGTTATAAGAAGGATCCTACTATTTGGGGTGCTATGCTAGGGTCCCCTATTCTCGGAAACTCCCATATCCCAAAGCCATGCCAAAGTGCTAGTGGATGTAGCCTGCCCAAACTTAGGCTTCGAAGCGCAGGTGACGAAAAAAGGTTCTTCTAAAGCAAGAAACCTGATATCCCAAGCATCTAAACATCTTGGGCCTGCCCCAAGCCCCAAGCCCTAAACCCTAAACCCTAAACCCCTTGCGGACCCAAAAAGGAGCCCTTAAAAAAAAGAACCCTAAACCCCAAACTTGTCCCAACATCTCCGGGACAGGCGAAGGTACGCAATCTGCAGGCGGAGGTGCACGGGGACGACCAGGCGAGAGACTTGTTCTTTGTCATAGTTGGGCAACATTTTACATGTTTATAGGTACTTAAACCCAATAAGGAATAACATTTAGATTTTTTAATCCTATCCCAACCATGAACTAGTGTTGATGCAGGGTTCATCGAGGCAACATCGAAAGCTTCATAAACACGGGCAAGACCCTGTAAGGACCCCGAAATACGATACTCCTAATTTTCAGAAGCTCCCCAACGGTAGTCAGCACGGAGAGGCACGGAGCGGGAAAGATCCTATCGCTACACTCTACGAATGAAGCTCCAATCCTCAAGCGTGCACCGTACGATACGGCCAGAAAAATTACCTATACTATGTTGGGTTTCCTTGTTATAACTATACTATAAGATGCCCCCCAAACCCTACTCTTATTATTAAGGCCTCTATCGTAGATCTTCATAGCCTGGAGCCCAAACGCAACTTCTTCAGATTACATCCTCAATCCGGAACTTTCGAGCTTCAGAGTTAAACGACGGCTGATGGTGAGCCGAAAGGGGTTGCCTAAAGCTTCCAGGGCTTCAAAATCCCAAAATAGCTTACATTCCTCACCCTACTTGTAGGTGCAGGAGACGTCGCAAGAAGCTTATAAGTAGGGTTTGAGGTATAGTTGTAACACTGCTTTGAAACTTCTGAACACAAGACGGAACCCTAAACTTACTGTGCGACCCTGTGACCCTTCTTGCAGAGTTTCTCCACCACCCTGCCAGGCATTGCGCCGCCTTACTGCCGCAGAGGCCAGTTCGTCAGCGAAGTTGGGTTGTGCGATTCGGTGCTGGAGAGTGGAAACATTGGATATGTGGGGCTTATTGGGATTACTCTGGTCTTTGTGGCCTTCAGCTCAGGTTTGGGTCTGCCAGTGAGGGTTTCAGGTTTAGGCCAAGGATCCGGCACAACGGCCCATGAGGGAGACGTGTCGCAGGACTGAAGCTCAGCCCGCCTAGAGAGGCTTTCGGTTTAGGGTTTAGGGGTTTCGGGATTACCATGGACTTCCCCAACGCCTGGAGACCGATCCTACACCAGGAATCACCACCCCCGGATCCAACTCCCTCCTTTCTTCGAAAGGGCTTGGACACCTGACTGGAACAATGCCTAAACCCTAAACCCTAAACCCTAAACCAACCCATGTCGATTACTGCAACAAGCATTGGCCTGTGAGGACAGTGGCAGGCAAGCTTGGTCTTCTTCAACTTGGCCCAATAATATCTCCGCTTTCCTACATTCCCGAGTTCACCTCGTTTTGGTGTTCATTTAGGGTATGACGAGGTGTTCAGGGTTTCAAGAGTTAAGGGAGTGTTTGGAGGAGGTTGGCATCTTAGAAATACAGCTCCCCTGCGACCCCTGTACGGTTACTTTGTAAAGGAAGGAACCAAACTTACAGCACAAACCACAAGCCCCAATTAAACCCGATACCTGAGAAGAACTGACGGCTAATCCTACTTTGGTTCCACTCCAATCCCTACTTGGAGTATCATGGGACTTAGTAAGTAAGGTTATAAGTACCTTAATTGGGGTTCTAAGTATAGTTACCCTTCGATTGGCTGAAGGCTGGTAACTTTCCTACGCATCACCAGCCGCTTCCTGAGTTCCAGATCTCGCCAATTGGACCTTCGCTCTTCCCTGTTATTGCCACCGCGCCATCTTCTTCAGTGGCTCCGGAGACTCTTGGTGTTTCCGAGCCATCTCTTGATATTGCCCCGCGTGAGCCTCCATATCCTCCCCCAGCGCGTCGTGCCTCGGGCAGTGATTCGGTAGGGATTGCGGGATCTTCAGGGCTAGAGGGCAAGGGTTCGCTCCCGAGTGGTAGAGAGTTGCCGCCAGAACCGCCTATCCCCAAGCCTAAAACAGGAATCCCGCCATCTTCTGCTCCTAACCTTGGCCCTTACGTGCCGATTGGACATCGCGCGATCACTTTGGACAACCCGCTCCTCAAGAGGAGGCGCACTGGGCATTTGGAGGAGGCAGCTGAGCCACTCGTGACTGGTGGAGGACGAGGCACCTGCAGAAGCCGAGCCGGCTAGCTCTTCGATTCCTGAACCCCTGCCTCAGCGGACCGTGCGCGTTAACGAATCCCTCTCTCTTCGGCACATTGCAAATTTGTTACAGGCCGAGAGAGCTACGCGTGTCGTGTCATTGGATTGCCATCTTGTATTGGACCGGGATTTTGCTGGTAGTATCGAGGCCGTGCAGCGCGTGTTGAGCACATATCCTGATACCAGCGTGCTGATTTGCTCCTTTGCCGTGACGGCGTCCCGTAAGGACACGGACTACCCTGACTATAACCCTAGTTAGTAAGTCCCATGATCCTTTAAGTAGACCCTGAAGCCCCTCTTATAATAGAACCCCCATAGATCCCCTTTAAAGGAGCCCATTAAAGTGGTATCTAGAAGTCGAGACCTCCTTAAGCTCCACAGCATCTAGAGACCCTTTCCGAACATCTCCACAAAAAAGCTCGTGCAGAGCCTTGTAGACCCCGGATGGCAAAACCCCAATGTCGGGGCCTTAATAGTTCGAAAAGTTTTTTTTTGGGGGGGTTCCTTATTATAAATATGGTATAATATACCCCCAACTACTAAATCCGTTCAGGTATTTCGGGAAAATGTGTCGGTAGTGTCCGGTCGGGTTTTTGGTTTTCAGTTCCGATTGACTGTTTTCATAGATGCGGCGAGAGATTTGGAAGCATTTGTACTTGTTCCGGAGGTAGATGGTCTGACTCGTTGCTTCATGGCGGCGTCGCTTGTTGTCGGCTCTTCTTGTTATTGAGACGGATTACAATTGCATGCCTCTAAATTCTTCGAATCGGAGTCCATGCTGGCTAGGCAGTATTACCCGCTAGTGCTCTCTCATTGCAACTACCGCCCCAATGAACCCTTGAACCCTTCGCTGTGGCTGGGCGGCTTGCGCACTTCGCACTTCGCGGCGCAGGCCGCGATTGGGAGGGGCGGGGCAGGTTCCGACTTATTGATTTGTGTGACAGTGAGAGTCGAAAGCCGAAAGCCCTAGACTAGACCCAGACTAAACTCTAATTTTGAACTTTTAACCTACGAGGCAACGGCGCGGCTGGCGGCTGGCTCTGGCTGCAGACTGGGCGGCTTGCGCACTTCGCACTTCGCGGCGCAGGCCGCGATTGGGAGGGGCGGGGCAGGTTCCGACTTATTGATTTGTGTGACAGTGAGAGTCGAAAGCCGAAAGCCCTAGACCCAGACTAAACTCTAATTTTGAACTTTTAACCTACGAGGCAACGGCGCGGCTGGCGGCTGGCGGCTGGCTCTGGCTGCAGACTTTCGCAGAAGGCCAGCCACTTTGGGGGCGGGGGCCCAATCCTAAGCCTTTGTGTAGTGTGTAGTGTAGGAGTGTAGGGATGTGGATTTAAGGGGCCGTGCTGGATTTGGGCTTCAGCATTTTGTTGTTGGGAGCACGTGACCAGGGTGAACTTCGGTTTGGAGTCGAACTTCGGACTACCCGTCGCCGCGGCCGACCGAGTGAGATTGAGTTCATGTGATTCATGTGTCATGAGTCATGGTGCCATGACTGCCATCATATGCAGACAGTGCTGGGTAATGTGCGGTCAACAGTCAACAGTTAATAATCGTGCGTTGTTTTGTCCGGTGGACACCCGGTGGACCATGGCTCCGAAGTCTCCGAAGATGCCGATGAAGGCGATGGCAGCGATGAAGGCAATGAAGACCAGCAAGCCTATGAAGGCGATGGCGGCGATGAAGGCTATGAAGACCAGCAGGCCTATGAAGGCGATGGCAGCGCATGGCAAGATGATGAAGGCTATGAAGACGAAGACCAGCCAGCCTATGAAGGCGATGGCAGCCGCAATGAAGGCAATGAAGACCAGCAAGCCTATGAAGGCGACGAAGGCGATGGCAGCGACGAAGCCGAAGGCGATGAAGGTCATGAAGGATCAGAGCATCCAGTGCGGGATTGGGCTGTATGGGCGGCCAGATTGGGCCCAGCTTGGCCTCACGACACCGGACCCCTATCGTGGCGAGGATGTCTTCGAGGTGAACGCGTTGGAAGAGGGCCGTTGGGTGTGCAGCATCGGCATGAGCAAGAACACGCGGCTGGACGAGATGGTGGAGCAGTGTCAGGATCCTGGCTGTAACACCACTGCATCCTACAGAGCTTTGGGCATCGCTGTGAGCGTGGAGAGGGTCCCTAAGTGAGGTGAGGCACAGCAACGACAACAGCACCAGCGCAGCAGCAACAACAACAACAGCAGCAACAGCAGCAGCCACAACAACAGCAGCAGCAGCAGCAGCAGTAGCAGCCAGCAGCAGCAGCAGCACTAGCAGCACAGTGTTACAGTGTTACCGTGGTGTCCCGGTTCACCACCAGGATTTAGCTCGGATTTCGGATGCTCGGGTGGTGGGTTGCAGACGGCACTCCTAGGCATCGGCCGGGGATAGCTAGACTACATTGGGGAGTAGCATTGAGCATCCGAGTCTGAGTACATCCTTAGGCGTCGCCGGCTTCGGAGTTTTGGCCAAAAGGTTTTCGGGCTTTTGGGGGGGGTTGGGCCGGGGTTGGGGTAATCGGTAATCGGGTGAGAAGAAATTCAGGTTTATGAGTTGATGTTCGATTCGTGAGCGGTTGTTCTTTTCAAGCAATCAGGAATCCAGGGATTTCAGGGCACCCGACTTGTATTTTGAAACACCCTCCCCACTCCCAACCCAAGCCTCAAAGAAGCCGCTTAGAAACCCAAACCCCGACGGCCCATACATACCACCAAACCTTATGAATATCTCTAATTCTAACTTCTAACATTCAAACATCCTAACGTACGCGCGACATCCCTTGACGGCAGGTGCTGGGCCCCCGCGGCGCCGTGGCGCCGAGGCTTTGGAGGCAGAGTTGGGTTTGGGGCGTTTGGGGCTTGGGGTTTAGGGCTTCGTCGGGTTTATCAAATTAGGCCTTAGGGTCAGGGTCTAGGGTCTAAGGTTAAAGTTTAGGGTTAGGTGGAGGGTTTACTGAGGTTCGAGTTCGAGTTCGGGGTTCATTAACGCCATACCTGTGGGGTGACAACGTGATAAACCCCCAAACCTGAAACACTTATTCTATGATGCAAAAAACTTGTGTTGATGCCGGACCCAATAGCCCTAAAGATGATGCTCTTGTCAATGTCAAGGAGCGTGGAATCTTCGGGCACAGCGGCTTCCTCTCTGAGGCGGGGGTCTGTTCCAGACAAGGGCGGTTTTTTTCAAAGCTTGCGGGATTGGTTGTCCCGAGTGCCGTGCACCCTGCACCAACCACCCACCCCGAAACAATAAGCGCTGTAGCTCATCCTGACCCCAATGACCCCAATGGGCCCCAATGCCCTATGAAGGCTGGCGTTCTGCGGCTCGGCATGTTGGAGGAGGCACGCGGCAGGCCGCAGAGCTTCAGATTTGAGCAAAAATCCTAAGTCCCTATTTGACCCTAAACCCTAAGCCTTGCCAGGCTTTGTCCGAGTGTGAGTCAATGTGAATGCAAAAAAAACCTGTATTTTAGCGGGTAGTAGTGGTAGGCATCGCGAGTGGCGTCGCCAGCTATGACACAGCCCGCCATTGCAGATCGGCTGGAGTCTGAAACCCATTGGTGTGTGGGAAGACGGGGCGGTAAATACGACGAGCTGCTCCTTCTAATCAGACCGGGCAAGTCATCTGGTTCTGGCGCTTTGTCGGATGCGACAGTTCTCTTCCGAAAACAGTTTGACATGACAATTGAATCCATGGTCGGCACACTTGGCCGACGAAATTTCTCTTTCATGCCGAAAGAAGACGTTCGTTGCTTCGTGGCCAAAACAGATTCTTGATCGTATATGAGGGTTCGCTTAGCTTCATGTCGTCAATCGTCAACCGAAGCAGGGTGGCAGTGCAGTTCGTCGGCGGTAGAGTCGTCAACTCATCTCAGGAAGATGGCTCTTTGACAATTGCTGGCCAAACTGTGACCGACTGTGTTGCAGCGATTGTGGAAGAAACGAGGCATCAATTGGATTGGGACGCTGTTTCTCGACTGCCTACCGTAGCCTTGGTGTCTTCGTAAGTACATGGAGGCTTCTAGTATCAGTATCTAGGTCTTGCTTTGTTCAATGCTCAGGTCAGGATAGTGATAAACTTTCCCGTTGCCGAGTCAGCCGCGGAAACAAGCATTAACAAGAGATTGGACGGGATTGCAGCGGCTTTGGACTCCGGACAGGACATCGCAGCCGCTCAGGAATCACTGGGAGAACTTCGGTCGATCCTTAGTTTGTCCAGTGGACTGGAAACTAGATCGGCCAAGACCGGGGGTGTGAAGTACCGGGCCACGTACATGCTGAATGCTGTGATGCTGGCGGACAATCTCAGAATGATCCATGCTCAAGACACGGACCTGCTCGAAACTGTTGTCAAACAGTGGCTGCACTGAAAGTAGACATGCAGTAGGCGCGCCAACGGTCACGTGATTGTTGAGGGCGGCAGATGAATTGGGTAATCATGCATGTCTATCTCTTTCTCAGCTCACTCAGGTCTCTGCACTTGTCGCTGCACCCGGAGCTTTCGCAGCATCTCTTACGAGATACTCTGAGGATGCCTCGCAAAACAATCCTGTACGACTTCAGATTGAACATTGACTATTGTTCAATGCTTTATGCCAGAGAGTTTGTCTTCACAAAAGGTGGTGGTGGATCAGAGTGGTTCACGCATTTCAGATTGGATAGCTCCCCGCAATTTGCGAGGAATTATTTAGTCGGAGAGCTAGATGTCTTGATACTCGATGAAGTGTCGGTGCAGACAGACAACGATATAGATGCCCTGCTACCTGTCTGAAGTTTCGTGGTTTATGTTCGGAATGGTCGTGCGTGCTGCCCAACAACTGTAACTAGAACTGGAAGTGGGACCAAGGTATCGCAAAACAAAGCTGACCACCCGCCTATGTCCTTTGCAGATTCTTGGAAAGCGTGCTACATCAACTGCGCACAAAGCCAGATCGTGCCTTCGTATGCTCCGTTTAGAAGCTGATCTGTACGATGCCCGGACCGCGGTCCGGAGTCTTCTTTCTGATCTCGGAGTTGAGTCCGGCCTCTGGACCCTTCCCAACATTGACCGGGTGGATACGCTTGCAGATAATGCTGATGATGCTCCGAATGGAAATGCGCTGGCCGAGCGTGCTGACGCATTGCACGACAAATGTTTTCCGAACAGTATGCCGCTGGGGGACTTTGATCATATGCTTCATCTCGCCATGACGGAAGCAGAGGTGGGATTTGCTTCCGCGGCGGGAGATGATTGGGCGCAGTTCGATAAACAAATCAACGGGATCGCGAAGTTTTTTTCCAAACGAGATTGCGCAGAGCTCTACGTGCAGCTACACATACAGAACAACAGCAAAATCCCTGCTCAAGCGAAGCGCTCGTTGAGTTCGATGTTTGAGACTTTGTGTCCGACGTTCATCAAGACACGGTGGCATTATGGCTTCGACGTGCTACACTGGATTAGTCGTCGGCAGGCTTTGCTTCTTGCCTAGGCTACAGGCTACATGTTTCCTTAAGCGCAAACCTCAAAACGTGTTTGCGCACAATGAATGCTGAGGATCGAGTACCTTCAGCCACCCACGGTGTCATCCAAGGACGACGGCGATGGCCTCACTGCCGCTGAGACGGAAGCCCTTGCTCTATTGGCATCAGATCCAGAAGAGCGTTGCAAGTTTTGGGGCATGTTCCATGCATATTACAAACTTCAAACCTGGGGTTTTGATGTCTACCAGTTCATGCATCGGTGCCCTTGTTGCCCGGAGCACAGTGCCGAGAGATCGAAGAAGGGCCGTTGCCCCTTTGCTGGGCGTCGCCTGATAGAGCTCAGCACTGGCAAGTGTCAAGATTTTTTGCATCAGCTGAATTCATCAGCACTTCTGTATCCGGCTGACCCCGGTTCGTCTAGTGGAAGGTCAGGAACGTTCGACACTTTCCAATCACTCGCAAGTAAGCTGCCAGAATATTCTCGAGTGGTCAACGACGCCTTCACGCTTGCCAAGCGAAAAGTGGCTCTTAGGTTTCAGCAAGGGACATCCTTCTATACGACATTTCCATGGAACATCTGCAAGCTTTTGAACTATGTGCAACAGCCCCGCGGCACACAGCGAGACCATGCTATTTCACAGAGCAAGCTCCTCGCCCAGGAGCTGCTGCAATCTTGGAGTGGCGGCACCTTGCCAAGCAACACGTTTGCGTCCAGATTTTTCCACGGCAGTCTGCTTGCAGGACTACAGCATTGGGCCTCCAGTGACGAACCGATGCAGAACTCTTTGCTCAAGGAGTTGCTCAGTTATGGATTGTCTTTGGTCGTCATGCAACGGCTAGAGTCACGGCATCATCTCGTCAACCTGCGCATGGTGCCTTCCAGGGCTTCTGGAGCCACGGCAGTGAGTGCTTTCTTACGCCGGAAACTGAACCCGGACATTCGTCAGGAAAACTTTCGCTTGAATTTTGAGCGCTACTTGCACGAGTTCGATCAGCTCGTTCGATCAGCTCGTTCCTGAAGAATGGGGCACTATGTCAGAACTTCACAAGCTGATTTCGGGCCACAACCTCAATGTCATGTTCCAAGACACTCGCAAAGAAGATGCCATGATCGCGGCTGTAGCCGCGCCAAGGGGTGCAAACACCACAGAAATGCTTGCGTTCCAAGCGCATGTGAAAGCGATGTTGAAGGATGGTGGGTATTACGCCTTGCCGACAAGCATCCTCCCCGATGGGTCAACCCAATACCTCTTGGTCCAGTTCGTAAGCAGTAAGCCTGAGGCAAAAAAGTATATGGAAAAGATTCTGCAATGGGGTCAGGACATGTGGCATGAGCAAGCAGCTGTCACCACTTTAGGGTCTGTGGTTGTGCAACCCCAAGTCACGTTACTGGATGACATTCCCAGTGATGCCTTGGTGCCTCTTCCTGCAAATGCGACCGCTTCAGTTGGAACTGTGGGCACGATGGAGCCCGTTTCCATCGCAGGCTTATTTAAGTACGGCTTCGAGCATGTTTATGAATTCCAGGATGTGGGCCATGTTTGCGAAGTTTCAGAAGAAGCTGTAAACAATGCGATTGAGGATGACGAAGAAGAGCCTGAATTGGAGGAGGCTCTGTGTACTCACGTGTCCATCGCTGGTGATCCCCTCCGCATGTGCTTTAGATGTTTAGCTGCATGTTTTCTTGCGGGATCTGCCCGAACCCTCACAACTGCTAAAGCCCAATCTTGCTATCTGAGGCAAGCGGTCTTCGAAGTTTGCAAGCAGGCTTTGCAAACCGGATTGCCGCTCGCAGTGTCCGAAGACAGCCGCGAAAGCGTTGACTGGCTAGTGTCCCATGATTTGGCAGCACGCACGTTGGATGGTCGCATGGTGCTTTTGAGCTCTTGCATGAGAAATGTCACACACCTAGCCTCCCCGGTTCTCCTCACCCATCCGGAAGACGACTCTGCCAACAGCACTTGGGGCTTGCGCAAGAAGTTGTGTGAACAGGGGTGGACATCTGGGGTTGCGTCAGCTGCGTCGGCCCGCGACAAAATTTTTAACTCCAAGAACCCGGCCAAGTCTTATTACTGTCTTCTTCTGCGCTGTTGCTGGGCGGTGTAAGCTATCGTGTGTACAACCTAATCTAGAATACTGCAAAAACTGTCGTTCAGCGTTGGCCTTGAGGCTTTGATGATGTGTGCCGGTGGGAAGAGCAGCGTGCATTTTCTCATTCAGTTCTCTGCAGTGGATACTACGATGCAGTATCGTCCGCCATTGACAAGGAACCGGAAGTGTTTCGGTCGCAACAGTTACGATGCAGCGCAGCGTCGCGCTGAGTGCTAGTGCTGTTGTGTTTCTGTTACTTATGTTTCTGCTTATTGCATTGACGCAGCAGGTGGCAGCGATCCCAAAGAACATGACTGCCAAGGGTTATGTCCAACTGGCCAGCTTCTTTCAGGGTCTCTCAGACGCAGAGAGGGTTTGTGCGTGTGGGTGCGTGTATGTTGACGATGCTCTATCATTGCACACGTCGGGATACTAATGGGTAATACTATCAAAATTATTGTTGGTTCCTTTCTTTATGGGACAGCGTTGTGTTATCCTTGCCGAGGCGAGCGACAAACTGACCCACGTGAAGAGAAGCTGTTGTTCAGGTGCACAGCCAAGCAAGGCATTCGGCGGCATTCTACACGAGTGCAACCGAATGCAAAGAGAAAGGCATCATCCAAAAAAAGGGCACTCGAAGCGCAGTCTGAACCTGCGCCCGCACCACCTCCAATCGTGATTGAAGACGATGACGATGAACAGCAACCGACGCAGGGTGCACTGTTGCCGGCTGCCTTGTTGACAGAGGGGTCGCTGAGCTGTTTGGGGCACGTGTCCGATCCCGAGCCCATTGTCGCAGCAGCAGTGGGGCCACCAGCAGGACAGAGCGAGCCGGCGGGTGGATCAAGCGCCGTGCCTGTTCCGCCAATTGCTGCGCGACGGCAGCAACGCCCGCCACCTGTCGACATCGAACGGAAAGTCTTCAATGATGGACATCGTTTAGTCGTTTCCTTGGTATTGCCCCATCTTCGGGCGATCATGCTGGATCCAGAGACTTGCAGTCTTCAGCCCAGACAGCAAGTGCACCGGGCACTGGTGGCTGTGGATTTGCAAGGGGACAGATTCTGGGGTGCAAATGAGACCTATTCTCGCAAACGTACTGTAGAGGATTTAGTCCTCAACTTCTACTTTGACGAAGTCAAAAGAGCGCTGTGAGATTGTGCTTGAGAATTGAGATTACAGCTCTGCAGCATGGCAGCAAGAGTTAGCAATAGAACAATCTTCGTTCTTGACCGCCCTGTGCACTTTCCCGTCCGGTTGAGCTCGTTGAATTCTTTGTTTTTTTTGAAGAACCTCCGAGGCCCGAGAGTTGTGATTGCGAGGGGGCTTTCACCATGCAGCGACCCCCTCTACCGGCGGCTTTGCTGCATGTGCAGGCATCAGGCGAGCAACGTTTGGCAGGGTGAAAGCAGCTTGCATGTCCTCAAGGTTTGATGGCACTTGTCCTGTAGGAACAGAGGTTGATCGACAGTTGATTCTGGCACTGCGCTGCTCAAGTATCAATATACTCTACTCTACGGGCCATTTAACCGCCTGACGGATACGGTCCTGTATGGGATATGGAGTACGCAACGTAGTGCAGGCAAAGTAGCTGAGCCATTGCTGATGGTAGCGTGGTGCCATGTGCCATGGCGTTTTCTTTGTATGCTGACCTTGATATAGAGAGTGAAGATCACTGCGCAGACGTGGCTGTCGTGCCAGTGCCAGTCTGCGCGAGTGCTTCGTCAAACAAACAGCACCCGAAGTCCAAGCTGAGCCGAAGCCCATGCCTCTGGTCCGGTGCTGTGCGCTCTAGGGGTGTGGGTGGACACTTGCAATTTCCTGACGTTGCCGTAATTGAACAGCTGGCAGCCGACCTGCCCGCGGGGCCTTTCAACTGGGCTTCACGATTTGTGAAAGCCGCAGCTGCAGGTTCACTCGAGCCGCAATTGTGTGTGCCAGCCAATGGCTCGCTTAGCTTCTGTTCTGAATTCTCTGGCTCGGGCGCTGCTGAAGCGGCTTTTCTGGCTGTGACCAAAGCTGCAGCGCGAGCCTGCCAGATTAAGCATTCATATTGTGCAGATATCAGTGCTAGCTGCCGCAAAGTCCTCATGTCTTCGTGCCGCTTGGATGCATGTGTGCTGTCCGGTTTCTTTGGCGCCGCCTAAGCATGCTCTTCTTTTATTGTGGACTGTTAAAGCTTACTGAGTTGACGGCAGCTGCGTTTTTGGTGACATATTGGACCTACTCCCCGACGAAATTCGTGAATCAGCCACTGCGCTTGTGAACCTACAGGCCGTGTGTGTATTCGCACCTGTTGGCTTTTCGCCTATGCTTGTTTGACATTTGCGTGAGTGCCCAGTGTCCAGTGCCAGGTCACCCTGATTTCCGACGACTTACATGGCATCAGCATGCACAATTTGAGCAAATACATCTCCAAGCGTGGCTGCATTCTGCGCCCCGTCGGGCCACTCAAGAAGGGGCATTTTGTGGTTTCGCAAGACTTCAGCTCAATGCTGGAGCAGATGCTGACCGGGCAGACAGCTCACTGCACGCTCAGCGTTTCCAGGAGGCAGGGCAGTCGTTTGATGTAGCGGTGTGAGCTCAGGTAGCTGCAAATGGCACACTTCAGCAATTGTCAAAGGAATCGCTAATTCGTGAAGGTTGTCGTTTGTCTCTTCAAGTTGTTGTCCAATCAATCACACGATTCCCCAATAAGGTAATGTTTTTGTCAATTCGTCAATGGGTTCGTCAGTTCGTCAATGGGTTCGTCAGTTCGTCAATGGGTTCGTCAATTCATCAATGGGTTCGTCAATTCGTCAATGGGTTCGTCAATTCGTCAATGGGTTCGTCAATTCGTCAATGGGTTCGTCAATTCGTCAATATGAGTTCCGTCAGAGTTCGTCAATTTGCCTTTAAAAGTTCGTCAATATTGACGAACTCCTGTCCTGACATTGACGAATTGACGAACTATTGACGAACTCATGTTTGGATTGACGAACCATTGACGAACTGGCTTCGGATTGACGAACCATTGACGAACTGGCTTCGGATTGACGAACCATTGACGAACTGGCTTCGGATCGACGAACTATTGACGGATTCGTTTCCGTTCATGAACTTTTGACGGTCCATGGTCGAATTCAGCGGATAAAGCAATTGCTAGTCTTGCCAGTGACAGAAATGCACTACCATTTCCACATCCACAATACCCCCGCTCAACCTGCTTTCTTGCGCAGGAAGACATTGGCAGAGCTGCTGACATTGATTATGGATGATTCTGTGGTGTTGAAAGCACACTCGCAGAATCCTGGCGATATTATCTTCTTTGACTACCACTACTACTGCTACTGCTACTGCTACTGCTACTGCTACTACTACTACTGCTCTACTGCTTGTGCTACTACTACTGCCACTTTGTTATTGGGCTCAAAGATACCTACCCAGCAACAAAGATTGAGTGCTTGAGTATTTTACAATACATTCTATCTGCGGAATGATATGGGTGAAACCTTATCCTTTATCCTTTTCCGCCACTTGTGCCTCGTGCAAACATCAAGTTGAAAGAGAAGCGCCACTTTGTTACGGGGATTTGGGGCCTCAGAAGCGCGGATTTGTTACGGCGTACTGCTACTGCTACTGCTACTGCTACTTCTTCTACTAGTACCACAACTACTCCTTTGGAACCAGGGCTGGCTAGGATTTTGGGGCTGGGGGGGGGGGGGGGGGGGGGGGGGGGGTAGGAATATTCACATGTTTTAGTGAGGGAAGAAGGCTTGAGTTTCCTGTTCCAGCCGAGTTGCTATGCTCACAACAGAGATTGCCCGCGTGTTCCAGATCCTGCTGATGTATCAATGGCTGCTTGTGGCAGCCCGTGCACGGACTGGAGCCGCATGGGAGAACAGATGGGCGCAGAAGGTCGAACAATGGTCGCATTTGTCGTGATGCGCCCTGCCTGTCGTTATGTGGATGTGGCATATATGGGAGCATTGAACAAATCGCCGCAGGGACACTATACAACCATTTAGGGCACTTGCAGCTTTTATGCAAACCCAGGTGCAAGCAATTGCGGCAAAGACCGGTTGACATTTTCGTACATGAAAATGTAATTGGATTTCCAGAACAGTTGTTGGTGGATGCACTGGGCTGCTTGTCTTTACAAGGAGTTGAGTAGCCAAGAAGCTGCATTGTGCTACTGTGTTTGTCAGTAGTAGCAGCCCATGCTCACGGATTGCGGACGAGGCTCGGTGTACGATTTGGCCGGAGTCGTGACCTTGGATCCACAATGTGTTGCGAACTTTCCAGTGAGCAGACGGCGGAAATATGTTTTGCTGGTACGAAAAGACGAGTGGCGGTTTCGTCCTCAATGAACTGCTTGCAATAAAATACTTTTGTGGCAGACGAGAAACACTCCTTTCCAGTGCCCCTTCGGCCTAAGGCTGCAAGCGCCGTTGCAGAGCATCATCAATGCCATGAGCTCCCACAGGACCAACGCAGAGTGTTCGGCCAGCTTCGAGGATTTCCTTGTGAAAATGGATATGAAGCATGAGCCTCAAGGCTCTTTGAGAACGAGTGCAGGGCTTACTGCGGCTCCAAGTATGTGTGTCACGTGTCTCCTTGTGTCTCCGTTTCAGTTGCCTTGGCCACGGGGCTAAGGGTTGGACGCGTACATGGAGATGTGTCCAGATGCTGCCGTTGTTGATCTTGCGCAAAACCCGCGTGAGCGCCCGCGACACGGCAAGCGACATATGTTGACCCTGACGACAGCCTGCAGCCGCATGTACATGCCAATATTCAAGCGGTATGTGTACGGGCTTGAGCTTTTGCTCCTACACGGGGTGCCAGTCACGGACAAGGTGTCCGAGGTGATGGGTTCGCGGCGAATCCAGGTGCAAGGCTTGTCTCACCCTGCCCTGTGCCGTTTAGCTGGCAACTCCATGCACTGCGCTTGCATAGGAGCAATGATTTGTGCAGCATTGCTTTTTTGCATCCGCTGCGAGCATGGCTGACCGTGCTGTTTGTAGTGGCAAGGTTGCGACGAGCGTGCCTGCAATTGCTTCCGTGTTGAGCCGTGTTGTGCTGCTAAAATTACTGTTGCGTAATTGAATGTTCATTGATTGATTGGACTGATCCGGTTTGAATATGCGGTCAAATCCAATGACCAGACTGAGGCTGTGGCCTCAGTCTGGTTTCTGTTGGCCGGTGCTTGTAGGAGGGCGTCCTAGGCTTGGGCAGGGCCAGCGGTGGTAGAAAGGATGGCCGAAGAGGAAGAGGATGGCCAACAGGAGCAGCTGGCTGCGCTCCCGGCAGCTCCCCCGGTGCTGCAGCTGAATCTGAAGCAGTGCCGCGTCTGCAGTCCAGATGCGCAGTGCTCGCAATCGTGTTGGAACTTGTGGGGCGCAGTGAGGTGTATGGACTGTGGCGTGGATTGCAAGGGCGACTACCACGAGTACGGCGCGAAAGTCAAATGTAAAGAGTGTCATGCATCCTACAGGCCTGATGTCCTGATGTTACAATGGCTCGATCAATTCTTGAATGAGCGGTTTGCTTGTGGCAGGTTTTGCAGGGATTCGGTTCCCGGGTGGACCGGTATGACCCCAACTGTCAAGCAACAGTGGATCCTTGCGAACAAGGGGAAAGGAGGCCGCGGGAGAAAGCGCGAACTTGTGCAAGTGCAGAGTGCCACTTGACGGCAGTGGTTCTTTTAAAAGCCGTGGCTTAAAGGCTCAAAGGCTCGAAGCTGGGCTCGGCCGTGTTTGTTTTAATTACCCGGTGGGGTTTGTGGTTGGGGGGTGTGGTGGCGGGTTCTCTGCTCGCAAACCTTTGCTATCAGCCGTCGCCTAAGGTAAAGATTAACGACTACCACAAGCAAGAAGGAAGAGTCCCCTTCTTGAACGAAGCCCGTTTCAAGAAAAAGCTCCGCAAGTACTACAATTTCACGGATGAGGAGTGCGAGAAAGAATGGCAGGCGGCCTTGCGGGACAAGACCGTGCCCAAAGGTCGAGATGACTATGGGGGAGTAACCGTGGCGAAGCTCAAGACAGATGAGTACGCCGGCGGGCGGGAAGTTGCAGTTGGCCGAGAATTGCGCGAGAGTCAGAGCCATAGCGTGCAGCATGGGTCCGAGATTGCAGAATTGGGACGAGGCGCGTAATAGTAAGCTTCTAGTTGGATTGAGATTTCCACGTCATCGCACCCCGCAACACCCATCCCCTTGTGCAGGTTTGGTGAACTCGACTCTCGATGTCGAAGCCGGCATCTCTGACTTATCAAGCAACTTGGCATGGAGTGATTCTTTGTTGGCCTCCTGCTGGCTGCCGCGTTTGTGGGGGATATCCTTGAGGTCCCATCGTTGCCTACCTAGGTTCAGCCATCCTCGCCGATGGGCCCAACGCGTCTGCCAATCCCAGGGCGAAAGCCAAAGCCAAAGGGAAGGGGAAAAAAAAGGAACAATTGCGGAGCCGCAGTCCACCTGGGAAGGAGAAGCCCACGGATCCGAATGCAGTTAACCAGCCGCAACCCAGCGCCAAGCCCTCCAGAACCAAGGACCCTGAGCTGCTGGCCCTAGAGATGCGGAGGAAGGTCGTGGTGATGGCAGGCAGATGGCGCGAGAAGTTGGAAGCCTTGGATAGTGAGGTTGCTGTCTCCCTAGAGCAGGCACAAGCATTTCCGGAGTGCGCAGAGATACTCGTGTGCACAGAGCAAAGGTTGAGAGTTCTTGGTGTCAACTTTGTGGTTGAGTGATGTGTAATGAAATCAGAGGTTGGTGACGGTCCTGATCACCCGCCTCGAACGGCTGTTTGCACTTTGTCCTGAGAACAGCAAGTGCAGCTTCGGGTTAGCAAACAAAGCCGCCGCCGCCGCCAATCTCGGGGAGAAGTCCTCAGGCTCAACGAAGTTGTCGCCAAAGACGGCTGAGCGTGTGAAGGCAGTGGCTGCTTTGGGCCCCGATGTCACCAAAACCACTCTGGCAGAGCATGAGAAGGCATTGATGTCTGCAGAGGCCTCGGTGACGAAGGCATTGCAGCTGCTCAACAAACTCAGTGCAGAGCTGGAAGCCCAGCGTGAGAAAGACGCTGCAAAGGAGTTTCGAGCTAATGAGATCCGTGCCCGTCGCACCCAAGAAATGGAAAAAGTCAGGAAAGCTGCGCGAAAGCAAGGCAAACATGAAGCTGACCAGGAGCCCGCTGGTAGATTGGAATAAACAGCTGAGTCATCGAGTCAAACTGGCATGTTGAAGAGTGGAGCGCGTAAGCGGGTGCTTAAAATTAGCAGATGAACTAGATGACTGTTACAGCGTTTCAGTGTCTTGGAGGAGGGAGGTGACCCGAGTGATGATGATGATGTCAACTCCCATCATGGGGAGTCCCATGCGTCTGAGTCTGACTCGGATGGAGACCAAAAGAGCGATGCCTCTTCTGGGGAAGCAGCTTCGAAGACGGAGCCTAAGGCGAAGCCGAAGAGGGAGCCAAAGTCGAAGCCGAAGCCCAAGGCAACAAGAAAGCCAAGGACCGTGCAGCCGAAGGGTGATGAGCTCGCATCCAGGTGGAAGCTGGCAGGGTGTCGGGGCGATGTGACTCTGGCCCAAAGTGTGGAATGCCCAGGGATGCTACCGGAATCAAGGGATCTGCTTGAGCAAGAGTGGGATGTGTGCAAACCCTTGTGGTTCTGCCATGCGGTGGATCAGTTGGCGGATCGTCTCAAAGGTGCGCTGGCAAACCAGCCAGACAAAGCAGTAGGCAAGCAGGCGTGCTTCCAGCGGAAGGTGCCGCTGCAGGCTCAGGATGTGCCATTGTTTCTTCACGAACTCTTTCCAGAGATTGGTCCTTTGGCTGAAGACCTGTTCGCTGGAGAAGAACGGCTGGCATTGGCGTTCTTGCGGCTCAACAAGCAGGACATGGACGTTTTGCGGGGGTACATGCAGATGAGGAGGATGGATGCGGGACCACTTTGGTCATCCATCAGCGTCGGCGATATGAACTTTGGACGTTTCATGTATGTCATCAGTGGTCGCATGCTCCTTGTCCCGAGTGCTTGTATGATGTGGATGGTGGTGGGTTAGGGGTTTCGCAAACTTTGCAGGTTCGTGGTGATGCTGCCCTTCGATGCTTTCGAAAAGGCTGTCCGGGAGGACGGTGAGACGCTGGGGCAGGTGGCGGCAACAATGGGCAACTACTCCATCCATGACGTGATCGAGCTTGGCGGTTCCTACGTCTTGCTCGACCAAGGGGAGGGATGTCATTGCCCGCCAGGATATTTGACTTTCCAGTGCAACTGGCTGTACATGCACTCCGATGACCCCGATGATGCTCCGAAGGTGTGCGAGAGCTCGTTCTCGGTGAAGCTGTCCTATCTTTCGATCATCACGCTGCCGCAGGGGCTCTTCCGGAATGAGCCTGCGCTTCAGCTTGCTAGGAGGTGGATGGAGCTGAGCCGCGACTCAGCCAAGACCTCAGATCAAGTGAAGTTCAGACAGATGGGGGATGCTGGGTTAGAGCTTGTTGGCTATTTGCTGCCGGCGGTCGAACCCGACGTCAAGCCGGAACCAGGAGGATCGCCAGTGCTTCAGCAGCTTGCCCGTGATGCTATGGCTGTTGACGGAGCGGCGACTTTGGCCGTGGCTACGGTTGATCCTGAGGGCGGCTCAGGCTCAAGTTCAGACGCAGCGAGCGGGGAGGCGGGCAAGTGTTGGTGTGAGTGTGCGCCGGTTTAGTTTTAGTGGGCTTTTATGGTTGTTTCCAAATCACACCAGCGGTTCGTCGGGTGCGGTGCGGCGGTGCGTATGATGATTGATTCTGTAGAAAACTCAAAACTTAGGTGTATGTGTGCGTGCTTCTGTATCTTGCAGCAGGAGCAGCAGCAGCAGCAGCAGGAGGAGGAGGAGGAGCAGGAGGAGTAGTAGTAGTAGTAGTAGTAGTAGTAGTAGTAGTAGTAGTAGTAGTAGTAGTAGTAGTAGTAGTAGTAGTAGTAGTAGTAGTAGGAGGTCAAACTTGTCAAACGAGAAACTGCCGGAAGTGGTCCAAGTCTGGACAAGGGCGTTTTGGCCAGAGGAGGTCTACCAGCCTACGCCCCAAAACGTCCAAAACGACCCAACACCCAACTTCCCGACAGGAAGGCGGCGTGCCGCCACCGTCGAAGGAACTCATGCTAGTGGCTAGTGGGGGAGTTCGGACATGTCGCTTGTGGGCCCTGTGGGCTCTGGGCTTTTGGTCGATGGCGATGGTTCAGGTCGTTTAGTTTGTGAGCCGCGGCGCTGAAATTGATTCTCAAATCAAATCCTCAAAGCGGTATAGTCATGCAGGAGAGCAGCGGCGGGAAATCGATGCCCCCAGCATCGGATGCCAAGGCGATTAGCGATGGCTAACCAGATACTGTATAGTTGTTTTCACTCATTGCACTCATTGTTGCTGCATTATTGTTATAGGTCTTGGAAGTTGTTGCATCAAAGCCTGTTGAGTCTGTTTTCCGGATTGGGGCGATTCGCGGTTTGAGGAAGGTTGTTGACGTGGTTGAGCGGTTGTGGCCCAGATTGAGTAAGTTTGAGAAGCTATGGGACTTCTACAAGTGGCCCGCAGGAAGGTGTGGATCTCTTGGATCTCTTCTGTTCTGTTGGATTTTGGTGGGGCTGAGACTGGGCCGGATTTTGCCAAAACCCCCCCACCAACCCCCCCCCCACAACCCCAACAACCCCCACCACCCCCCCGCCCTTACCCCCCACCCCCCCCCCAACAACCCCCCCGCCTCGCGGAGGATGCAGGTTTTTGGGTTGGCTTGGTCCCGCGAAACTGCGAAACCGGGTATTAGTTTCCCTTTGACTTTGACCGCCTCCATTTGCAAGTGTGTATCAATAAGAACCTGCTCTTGATACAGACTTTGGTGGTGAGTGGTGGGGAGGGAACCCGGCTGATGCTCGTGATGCTCGCCCTCATTTCGCCCCAAACCATGCTCGCTTCTGTTGTGGTTTCGGTTTGTGATTATTTTTCGTAGGGTCAAAACGGTTGCCAAGCAGCGGCCAAGCAGGAACGCCCCGGTGCAGACGCGGAAGCAGCAGCCCATGCCACAGCACCAGCACAGGAGGCCCATGTGGTGAGTGGGGAATATTTTTAGGTTCGCGTTTTGTTGCGGTTCGAGCCAGGAGTCAGAAGAGCGCCATGTGCCACGCCTTTGGTAGCTAGTGTAGGTGAGTTTACATTGGCAGCCGTCGTGTTGTGGCGCTCAACCAAAGCCATGCAGGAGATCAGCGGCGCAAAGGAGTCGAAGCATGCAGCAGCGGATGCCACAGCACAGGAGACCCATGTTTGAGTGGGTAGTAGGGCAGGACAGTGCCATGTTCCACACCTTTGGTTTGAGACCAGTTGTAGGCAAGTGTAGGTTGGCAGCTGAGTTGTCGTGTATTTTGGGGATTGGGGCGGTTGACGATTGGCGCAGTGGCCCAACGAATGCAGGAAAGCAGCGGCGTGAACGCGGAGCCGAAGCATTCAGCAGCCGAGTCCAAAGCACAGGCGTCCTAGTGTCAGGGAGGTTCGGTTCAGGTCGGGAGGCAGGAAAGTGCCGTGTGCCAGTGCCATGCCTTTGGTTTGAAACCGGTTTGAGTTTGTACCTGCCTCACAGGAACGCAGCGGCGGCTTGCACGCGGAGCCGAAGCATTCATCAGCCGGTCCCGATGCCGATATCCAGGAGCCATGTGAGTGTAGGGTGGAGCGTAGCGGAGCGGAATTTGGCAAGTGATGAAGGCTTGCGAAGGTGTTGGGCGCTAGGTCGCTATGACTATTGCCTGTGGCCATTCGTTAGGATTTAGGGTTTAGGTTAGGGTAGAGGGCTAGTATAGGGTAGTTTTAAGTTTGAATCGGTTTGAAGTTGAGTTGAATCGAGTGTGGGCCAAGCAGGCAGCAGACGCAGATGACAGACTTTGGGGCCAGTTGGAGACGCAGCTGATGGGGCCCACACCGAAAGTGCGAATCGACTACGATGACGTGCCGGTAGACTTGCATGGCTTCTTGGCACAGGATGAAGCGGACGTTGAGTATGAGTTGGGCCGCGCGAAGGCACACCCATATTTCCAGGAGCACATTTCATACATCAAGACCGAACTCGGCGTGGACGATGATTACGAGTTTCTCGGAACTGAGCCGTTCTTTCAAGAATTGAAGGTTCTAGTCTCATGGTTCATGTCCAAGTAGATTCAGTGATTCCAGGCTCATGGTTCATTTCCAAGTAGATTCAATGATTCAGTAGATTATTAGATTATTCATTCCTTTCGTTGTCGGCGGCAAAAATCTTGCTAGGTTTGGCAGTGATGATTGCATCGCCGATCTTGAGCATTGGTTCCAGTGGCTTCAGGGCAAGAAGACGGGGAAGAATCAGCGCGAGGAGTCGCTGATGCCTTTGATCCCAGTTCCGAAGCCTACTTCCAATTCCCATGTGACGCCTTCTGAGCCGGATGAGGCGACAAAGGCGCTGGACCAGCTGAAGAAGATGCAGGAGAGCTCACGAAAGCGGGCTGAGGAGGCAGCGGCCAAGGGTAGGGCTAAGGCTAAGGCAACTGCCAGGCAGCCGAAAACACCGAAGACGAGGGCGACTCCAAAGGCCAAAGGAAAGACCAAGCCACTCAAAAAGTGATCGGCCAGTTTACAGTTTTGTGTGTCAGCGAGTGAGCGGGCCAGCATGGTCAGATACTAGGGTGAAATCAAACTAACCAAACTTTGCATGGTGGCTAGCTGGCCCTTCACACTTCAGAAAGAGGCTTCTCACTCACCATCAATGATGGCTGGTGAGTGTTGTGGGCAGACCAGTGGCGAGGCAACCGCACAGTGCAATGCCACGAGAAAATATTTGGAGAAGGTCCGTTAGTATCAGCAGTAGAGCAGTGCAGTGCTTCTGTTACGCCAATCAAATCAGAAGCGTCCGCATTCTGTCATGTGATGTTGTGAGCGGTGCAACCAAGGATCACGCTATAGATCTCTCCACCATCATTCGGGAGTGGCTTGAGATTTTGGGTTATAAGCTGTAGGGTTTCGGTTTTTGGATTACCAAACGCTTTATAGGTTTAATTCTTTAGTTGTTTTTAACTTGTAGTTCAAAGTTGTCCTGTTCCGAGTTCCGGGTTGCCCACGACCCTTCCCAGGAGTTCTGCCACGCCGGCCGGGGCGATGATCGGACGACCGGAACAAGAGTCGAAAAATCGATCGCCAGTGCGGAGTGTTTGGTGGTGCATTTTGGTGCAACTTCTCGTACGCAGTCTCTCTCGTCCTATTCCGCTGTCGTAGTGGTGCGAATAGTAGTAATAGTACTTGGGCAGCCTGTTTCGTCTCGATTCTGCGGCGCTGGCACGGCCAACTTTCACCCGTAAATCTGAAACACCCTGCCCGGATTTAGTACCCCCAACCCAAGTCTATTTATTATGGCCCCTACATCAGAGCAACACCCTATATATGGTATAATATACCCCAAGCCCAAGGCCCAAGTCTATTTATCAAGGCAAAACCCGACACCTTGAGCTGGCAGTCGTTGGGACAGGCGAAGGTACGCCAGCTGCAGACCCAACTGCAAGAAGAGGATCAGGTGGCTGTCCTTAAAAGGATCTATAGGGTTCCTTAAAGGGATCTATAGGGTTCCCTAAAGGGATCTATAGGGTTCCTTGACCTATAATCTATGGAGTTTAGGGTTTGGGGTTTACTTACCTTTGTTTCGTAGGGAATGGAGGGGGCCTTATAAAGGGGTTTATAAGGGTTACTATAAGGGATCTATAAGGGTACTAAAATAGAGAGGCCTTAATAATCCCATAACTTACCTTTGGTTAGTAGGGAATGGAGGAATGGGGCACAATGATAATTACCACTACTACTACTACCATTCTTCCATTCCCTACTAACCAAAGGTAAGTTTCGGCAGTGCTTGAAGATGTAGCGGTGGGGTTCACGGTTTAGGCAGCATAAACCCCGATGTAGTAACTCAGTCACCTTACTCGTACCGCGTTAAGGCGGCATGGACTGTGCAGAGCCCCACAGCCCAAGGCCCCAAAGCCCAAAGCCCTTAAAACCAGGATCCTTTTTATCTGCTCCGGAGTTTTAGTGCCTGCGATGTTCGCTCGACCTCTGGTGCCGATCAAATCACTGTACTTGAGCAGCGGCTGGCCCTAAACCCTAAACCCTAAACCCATCATCAGAATGAGTCGCAGACCTCGCCTTGCACACCCCGCCCCAGAGCCGCGAGATTTCTTAGAGGTTCTTTGCCTGATCGTTTAGGGTTTAGGGTTTAAGGTTTTGGGTTTAGGGGTTAGGGCTTAGAGGCTCTTTGCCTGATCGAGAAGATTCAGCAAGATCAACCGGCTTCGCGCCTGCTGGACCTGCATGCTTATCTTCTACTTAAAGGATCACGGGACTTAGTAACTAGGGTTAGTCTTTAAAGGGCTCCTTTAAAGGGGATCTATAGGGGTTCTATTATAAGAGGGGTTTTAGGGTCTATTTAAAGGATCATGGGACTTAGTAACTAGGGTTATAATTAGGGTAACTATACTTATAACCCCAGCTAAGGTACAGTACTTATAACCTGACTTACTAAGTCCCATGATCCTCCAAGTGGACCTGCATTCCTATCTTCTATGCTGAGTTCTTGTGGCCATGCTTTTCGTTTCCCTCCCTCAACCCTGAACCCTAAAGCCGCATCATTATCTACCGCCCCCAAAACTCAAAACCCTATTCTAACTCTGCCAAAAATTTCATCTACCACCAAAGCCCCTCCCCTTCCCCTCAAAAAAAAATCTTAAGAACCCTGCTCTAATTCTTCAGGCATCATGCACCCAGTCTGGGCTGAAGGGGGGGGGTGGTCATCAGGGTTTGGGATTTCGGGTTCAGGGTTTGCGGTGTTGGGTTTTGGACTCGATAGTTTAGCGGTTATGGGTCTAGGCTTGAGGGCGGGGTAGCTCCTGCAAAGGGTGACGTCGTGCTTGCGAACAAACCTATAATCCGGAACTGAAAGGAAGCGCAGATGTACTGTTGCTTTGCATGGGGCAAATGTGCCCTAAACCCTCTGTATTGAAGGACCCTAAACCCTTAATTGCAAGCCAAGTATCATGGGACTTAGTAAGGAAGGTTATAAGTACGTTAATTGGGGTTATAAGTATAGTTACCCTAGTTATAACCCAAGTTACTAAGTCCCATGATCCTTTAAGTGGTCAGGTGCAGCAACGCCTTGCGGCAGCTGAGGCTATTGGGCCTTCTGTGATTTTCAGATGTAGCCTCATTGCTACGTGACGAGTTGCACCATTGGGATTTAGGAGGGTGCTGTCCTAAGGAAAAGAAGATAACTCTTTCGCGCTTGTGTTGTTTCCTGCGTGTATATGTGGGTAGTTGTCAAAATTAGGGTCTTTTTTTTGGGTCCTAATATTTGGGGTACCCAAGAAGGGACTCTAATTTTGACAACTGCCCATGTAACGGGTCTGAACTTTTACCGAGGGTGCTCTATCGTCTGGGGGACCTTATGGAAAAGGCTCTGTTGAAGGAAGGGCCCGAATACTCCGGGTAGAACAAAATGCGGCAACCACGAATTTGATCATGAGTTTTTGGCCTCCACTACCCTAAGGCACCAAAGTAGTTCCTTTTTGGGATTACCCTATAGGATTCTATATATGAGCCCCCAAACAGGAACTACTTTGGGGCCGTAGGGTATGGCCCTAAATCCTAAACCCTCTTGACTATGAGTTTGCGACTTCCGGTTCAGGGCCGCGAGGCTTCTGGGGCAGCGTTACTACAAACAGATCTTCCCTACTCACAAACAGTACCAGGACCCTCCTTGTGCCCTCAAATTGGGGTACAGGTCCCAAATAATGGGTACTTGCTTGGAGGGTCGGGGGACTTAGTAACTGGTTTTTTTAGGAACTTATAAGTACCATAACCCCAATTAGGGTCCCTTTTAGGGTGCTTATAAGTCTACTTACTACCTACTTACTAAGTCCCCCGACCCTCCAAGTAGGGTCTAATAGGGGGTAGATGTAGGGTCCAGGTAAATGCCAGGAGTCCGAAAACTGCAAAGCCAAGATCCCTAAACCCTAAGTCTGAACCCTAAATTCTGAAGGCAAGCCCCCAAACACCGAACGTACCCCAGCGCCCACCCTTTCGACTCAAACCCAGCCCCGAAATCCGTGGTTTTTGTTTGTTGAATGTGGCAGCAATATGTGCAATTCCCTGGTAGTCCCTACAGAATTTCAGAGGTATGCTATACCTAAAATTTTTCCAATACCCGATGTTACCTTCTTTGGCAGGGTCGCAATTTGCAGGATCCGTCTTTCGCGGTCTGCATTCGGGGTTCCTTCTGGTGAGGAGGGGCCTGGTAATCTTGGGGAAATAAGGCTTGCTGCTGCAGAATGTAAGGGTGTCGATTTTTCGAGGCTTTTGACATGTAATGTAGGGTCTTACAGTAGCGCTGTTCCTTCGGGTTCCTTCAAAAAGTTATTAGTTGTATTACGATGTACTCCAAGACATTCAGAAATCCTACACCGCAACATCTGCTGCGGAACTTGCCGCAATGCTTTATCCCACGGTGTCTAGCACAGGGCGTGAAGTCTGCCGTTGTTGCATCCCGTATTGCCATGCTGGGGACGATGACCGAGATGTGCACAAGAATGGGGCTGCAATAGAGACGTCTAGATGGCACGATTGCTGCATATTACTGCAGTGCCACGAGACGCTACAGTGCAGGAGTTCGAACAGCTCGAGGGGGTAAAGGTGTTCCTGCTTTCCAAGCTGGCTTGGGGGCTCACCGCAGAGGAGGGCCTAAACGCTGAACAAGCGGTGGGTAAGAAGGTCACCGTTGTGCAAGAGTACTTGGAGGATCATGGGACTTAGTAAGTAAGGTTATAAGTACCTTAATTGGGGTTATAGGTATAGTTACCCTAATTTCAACCCTAGTTACCAAGTCCCATGATCCTGTAAGTACGTGGGCAAGATCCAAGGCCCTCCCTGCACCCACTTCCATGATGAGCGGAGTCGTATTCAGGCGCTTATCTGTGGGCATCAGAATGAACCCCAATAGAACCCGTACAAGACCCTGTGGAACCGTAGCCACACAATATTAAACCAAGCATAGAATCCATAAAGCCGTATACAACCCGATCAACTATGTTAAACTTGGGAGGGGGGCTTATGCTTTCCCGCACATTCTGGTTGGGCTCACCATGGGCCTCTGCGACGGTGTCCCTGTTCACGAAATCGTACATAGAGCTGGCTGCCGGCCCGATCTCATGCACTTCATACGGCTCTCATAATATTTTGGGGCTTGTTATTGAAAAGGTTGCAGAGTTTTTGCCACACCAAGAGAATTACACACTCGTCTTAACACTTTTTCCTCATTTTCAGCCGTTCTCCAAGAGAGAGGGGCGACCCGGAACCCTTAAACTCTGCACTCTTAAGCCCAGGAGTCTGAAATAACACCTTAAAGTTTGGACATGCAACAGCCATCAAACGAGTGTCAAAGAGGAGCCATAAAGAAATCTCACAAAATCCAGTGACAAACCTCCAGGCCGTCATAAGAATCCCTACGATGAAGAAACCGCTTTTCTCAAACCGCTCAGGGGAGTTTGCGCTTGACGCGCTCCGAGCTGCAGCAAGAGCAGCAGCAAGCGGCTTTGTTTCAGGCCCGGGGGGTGTTTCGGGAGCTGGCACAGAAAAATCTAAAGACCCTTGTCAAGGACTTACCTAAACCGAGCTTTTTGTTAACCCTAAACCCTAAACCCAAAACCTTTAAACCCTAAACCCTACTGTGTCAGGAAGCCCACTTTTTCGGGACCTGATGTAAGGAAATCCTAAGACGGAGCTCTGAGAGGTTGGTCACTAGGGTTCGGCCTTTCGGGGGTGTCATCCTCGAGGGCTTTGGGGTTTAGGGTTTCGGGCTTAGGGTTTGGGGGTTTAGGGGTTTAGGGTTTAGGGTTTAGGGGTTTAGGGGTTTAGGATTTAGGCTTTAGGGGTTTAGTTAAGGGTGGCTTATTGCGTTCGGTAGGCCTTGTATATGGTTTCGTGCATTCGGGGGTTTGGTTTTGGTTTCAGGGTTCAGGGCTTGGATCTTTATGGTATGGGGTCCCAGGGCTGTTAGGGTTCACGATTCAGGAAGTAGCTACTGCGGTGTTGAATGGCTTGCTGTTGCCGGCGCTTGCTGAGGGTTTGCAACGCATGGACAACTTCGGGATCGAGGTCGCGTGGAAGGCCAAGAAGCCGAAGGTGACCCTTTCCTTCGGGAACATCTCTCACAGGAGATCATGTCAACGCATCGACGAATTGGCACCACTTGACTGAGATGGCCACAAGATAGAGGACATACGTGCCCGTTGCCTGGACCGGAACGCCCGAAGCCGCTCGCCGCTGCGGGGCAGAGTAGCTCCCAGCGAAGACTTCGCTAACGAGGGCAAGAATGCACAAGGTGATCCTGGCCTTCAGTACCGGGGGCATGCAAACCAAGGGTGGCGGCAAGTCGTGGTGTAGCTACTCCAAGTCCAAGGCTGAGAGGGTTGGACCCTATACCTCAAGGCATAAACCCTAAACGCTAAGCCCCAAACCCTATACCACAAGCCCACAAGCCTAATGCCCAACCCGTGACCCTAAACCCCAGACCCCGATACCCTTATAGAACCCTGAGAGTTCCTGGCAGCGCCTGCTTCGCAGGGCAAGGCCCGTCAGCTTACTGCGGAACTTCGGGAGGAGGAGGCCATGGGCCATGCTTTGAATGATCAGGGTTCAGGGTTTGGGGGGTTTAAGGAATTTAGGATTCCTTTAAAGGGATCTATAGGGCTTAGGGTCCGGACTTTGGGGGTTTAGCGGCTTTAGGGTTTCGGGGCTTCGGATTGAAGGGTTCAGGGTTTAGGTTTTTAGGGTTGTGAGGGTTCAGGGGTTTAAGGCTTAGGGGTTGGAGGTTTAGGGGTTTAGGGGCTCAGGGTTCATATAGGAGCCTGAGTGAGCACCAATCTTTTGTCGCCCTTTATCTAGGATGCCCAGTAGTACCCTTATTCCCTTTTTGTAGTCCTAGGTTCCTTGTAAAGTTGCCCAATACCAGAAAGACTAAAGAGGGGCTTTTTTATTCTTAGGTTACTGGGTATCCTAGATTTTGTCGCCCTTTATGCATAGGTGTCTCGGCTTTGAGAAGGGGTTGTTGAGATGTCCAGGTAGGATTGCGGGGGCTGGAGGCTCATGTTCTCTTGGGTTCAGCGCATTGGGCTTGGGATTTGGGGTGTTAAGAACAACTTGGGTCTTGGGCTGTAGTGTCATGGCGAATGCAGCATTTGGATTCGCTGAACCTTAAGCCCCGAATCCGAGACTGTAACTGTCACAACTCTTAGCCTTCAATCCCTAAAGCCCCAAAACCCTCAACTAATCCCTGAAGCCCGCAATGCATTCTGTAGACTCCTCTCAGGGTGTCTGTACAATCTAACCAGGGTTTAGGGTTTAGGGATTGAAAGTTTTGGGTGTGTTATGCTGGAGAGGAGGTTCGAGTAGGGGGGGGGGGCGCAGGTAGTGTAGGATCTCGGGAGTTTCATGAATTAGAGTTGGAGTGTAGCTGAAGCGTTATATATATATATATATGGGAGTTTCAACAAGAATGAGCACGAATATGGATCCCAAAAACGGGATCCTGAATAGAAGGAGCCCCGCAGTCAGAGACAACAAATAACATAATCATAAACGCTGAAAAACATGTTTAGAACCCCCCCCCCCCGAACCCTTTGTAGAACCCCGTTCGAGCCCTAATGGAACTCCTATCGAAGCCGCAGCCTTAACTACATAGTTTTTCAGTCACCTTGCTCATGAGGCGGTGCGCGAACAGCTCGGCACAGCGCAGGCCATCGCCTTTGCAAGTCAAGGGCTGTTGGGCTTATAAGGGTGCTATAAGGACTTTCGTGTTTAGGTTGGGCTTTTCTGTTTGGGGGTTAAGATTGTTTAGGCTAGCCCTGACACCGCAGCCCCTAAGTCAACAGAGCGAGGCCAAAGTGCGGCAGCTGCGGTCGGAGCTGCAAGCGGCGCAGGAGACACAGCAGGAGCTGAGTGCAGCCGAGGCTCTACTTTTCTTTTCTATCTCTGTGCTTTGCGGGTTCTATAGGATTTTGTTACGGTTTTATAAGGGCTGTAGACAGGTTTCAGGTTTGCATTCGCTTTTTTTTGCACGGCTTTAATATTGCGGTATTGCAGCGTTTTTGGGGTAAAGGCTTCAGCTCAAAGGCTTCGGTGTGACATCGGTACACAGCGTTGTATGAGGACTCCCCTCCAGCTTCGCACCGCAACCCAAAAGTGTATATTCTTATGAATAGAAATGTATAGACAGAATCAACAAACATATAAACAAGCAAATAAACAGTTATGCATACACATACATATATAAAGGATATCTATGTGTACATGTATTGTATCATCTACGTTATCATTACACCACAGTCCACTACATTGTGCTGCATTGCATTGTGTCGCGTGTCGCACGGTACATGGCACGACATAGCATTGCACTTCATGTTTATGTTCATACCGTGCCTACCTGCCTACCTGCCTGCCTCCCTACTTGGAGGATCATGGGACTTAGTAAGTAAGGTTATGAGTACTTTAATCGGGGTCATAAGTATAGTTACCCTAATTATAGCCCTAGTTACTAAGTCCCATGATCCTTTAAGTACCGACCTACCTGCCACCTCGTTGCCTCGCTACCTAGCTACGTGGCCCTGGCTGCCTGGCTGCTTACTTACCTTGCGTTAGTAGGGAATGGAGGGGGCCTTATAAAGGGGTCTATAAGGGTTACTAGAAGGGATCTATAAGGGTACTGTCATAGAGGGGCCTTAATAATCCTATAATTTACCTTGAGTTAGTAGGGAATGGAGGAATGGCGTACAAGTATAGCTACTATTACTACCATTCTTCCAGTCCCTACGAACCGAAGGTAAGCTTACCTATGTACCGACAGCAACCAGCCAACCTGCCCACACACCAGCCAAACCAACACTCCCCGACGGCGCTCAACGTCGAGAACCTGCGAGAGCACTCATGGACCGCTAGCGGCCCCAAACCCTAGACCCACAAGCCCTCAACCCACAACCCACACCATGGGTTTAAGAAGGTTTTAGGGCCGTTTGGGGTTTCGAGTTTAGAGTTAGCAGGCTCAGCTCCGACGAGAGCAAGAGCGTCGCACGGCCTGCGAGGCACGCGTGTCTGCCTCGTCATATGGGAGTTTCCGAAAATAGGGGTACCTTATTTGGGTGTCCTTATAATAGGGATCCTACTATTTAGGGTAGTATATTAGGGTCCCCTATTTCGGAAACTCCGATATGAGGTTTGGTTTAGGCTCGAGGGTGTCGGAATGCCTGTATCTGCTCCCTGCAATCAAGATCACCAAAAGATAACGTGATCCCGAAGCTGATATCTTAAGCTCAGCCCCAAGCCCCAAGCTGCGGTCCAACACCCAAAAGATTTCAATACCCACTTGAAGGACGTACATATGGGTTCAGTAGGTTATAAGTATCGTTTGAAGTACCCGGAAGTGGGTTGCTTGCACGTATGATTGGATTTAGGGTTTAGGGCTTTACAGCCCTACCTTAACCTTACATAACCAAACATTTGCAGGTTCTTATTATCAACCCTAACATGGAGGAGTTCTCAGGGAACCTACAAAAAGGCAGGTTTTGGTGCTTACAGCCCTACTTACAACGTGCAAGTGCGGACCGCGTCCCCGAAAGAGGCCCAACGCCCACACCCCAAGCCCCCACCCTTAGGTAGTATCATTAGGGAGACTCGATAAAGGGTACCCCTTCTGAACCCTACTTCTGGCTCTCTTAAAAGGGGCCTTATTGAGAGGGTCTTCCCCAAGGGTCCCCCTAATCCTAACTCCCAACCCTGAACTGAACCTGAGTTCACGTTCAGGGCTTAGAGTTTAGGGTTCGGAGTGTGAACCATAAGCCCAAAGACGCCAACACCTCAGGAACTTAACCCCAAGCTGTGACATCCCGAAGAAGCAAGGACCCACCGACTACCCCGCACCCCAAAAAAAAACCCAACCCCTCCGATCACTAAAACGGGTGAGAAGTTTAAGTCCTTTCAAGCCTTATGAACCGTGTTGAAAATCCTGTAGCCGACTCAACGTAGTAACAGACGTCAAAAAAAGGATATCCGGAGCTCCGCCTGTAAACAGGCAATAGCAACACACAAAGAAGCTATTCTCCGAACGAGCCTCAAACCTGAAAGGGGCCAAAAACCCTGAGACGCTGTATACGGCCTTGTAAAACCTACTTTCCCTTAAAATCTCACTCGAAAGCAGAAGCCCTGAGCCCTAAACCCTAACAGCCTAAACCCTAAAACCCTAAACCTAAAGGCTCTTAAGAATTAAAACCCGAACAGGCCAAAGTGCAGCAGCTGCGCCACGAAGCGCAGGAGGCCGAAGAGAGGAAGCAGCAGCTGATGGTCGCGGAGGCTGCAGATGAGGGGCTTAGGGCATTACTCAAAAGGGTAGTATAGTCAGGGTACTGTACTAAGGGCACTGTCCCGCAAACCAAACTTGGGAGGCAGGTTTGGGATTCAGGGCTTAGACTTAGAGTTTGGGAATTAGGGTTTAGGGTTAAGGGTTCCTAAACCCTTAATCCTAAACCCAAGGTATATATAGGGTTTCAGGGTTTACGGCTGCGGTATAACGATACCAATATGGGAGTTTCCGCAAATAGGGGACCCTAATCTAGTACCCTAAATAGTAGGATCCTTATTATTACAAAGACCCCCAAAATAAGGTACCCCTAATTTTCGGAAACTCCCATGTCCTGAAGCCCTAAACCCAGAGCCTCCTGATAAGGTCCCCGCAACCCATGCCCCGAAGCCAAAGATGCCACTCCTTCAAGCACTTGGGAGTTTCCGAAAATTAGGGGGTACCTTTAAAGGGATCTATAAGGGTTCCTTAAAGGGATCTATAAGGGTTCTATAAAAGGTTAGGGTTTAGAGTTTCCGAAAATTACGGGTACCTTATTTTGGGGTCCTCATCATAAGGAACCTACTAATTAGGGTTTCGGGGTTTACGGTTTAGGGCTCATTTTGGGGTCCTTATAATAAGGATCCTACTATTTAGGGTACTTAATTAGGTTCTTCTATGTTCGGAAACTCCCACTTGACTCAGTAACCTTTCACCCTAAACTTTATTGCTCTTAGCGGCCAATGCCCCAACTGTAGGCGGGCACAGCACCAAGTCTGTGCTTTCAATGTACTGCACAAGCCCCCCAAAACCCCGAACCCTAAACTTTACGTTTAAGGTTTAGGGCTTGGGGTTTGGAGTTTAGGTGAACTTCAAGCCCCAATCCCAAGACAAGGCTGTTTACTCCAAGACCCAACAAAGACGCCGCGATCCGGAAGGCTAGACGGCTATAGCTAAGATTTTCCTATGCTCCATATCCCAGATTCCAAGCTCGAAACTTCAGAGCCCAAAATGACAAAGAGGGCCTTTGAGATCAAGTTTCCCGGTGCCAGTATCAGTCCTATGACGTCGGTTTTGCAGAACCCAAAGATTTAAGGGTTCCCTTGAAGGGCTCCTCTACGCATTCCTTGAAGCGTTCCTTGTAGTATGGCCCCCAAAAAGCACATAAGCAAAACTTAGGATAGGGATATCCCATACCAACCCCCTTATACTGAAGCCCAATAAGGTAGGGATATCCCTACGCATTCCTTGAAGCGTTCCTTTTGGGGCCAATGCTTCATCTTCGGCTCCGGGTTGCCGTATCTAGGCTTCCAGGCTTGAGGTGGAACTCCGAAACGGGGTTTCGGGGTTTTGGGGTTTTGGGGATTGGGGGTTTAGCGGTTTAGGGGTTTCGGGGTTTTGGGGTTTAGGGTTTGGGGGTTTTGGGTTTGGGGGTTTAGGGTTTAGGGTTTGGGGTTTAGGGTTTGGGGGTGTCCTTCTCCAGGGGAGTCTTCAGCAGCTGAAAGCGCAGCTGCACCAAGAGCAGGACAAACTTTCCACGGCAGAGGCGCGGCCTGATCCTTTGAAACCCCCTGCTTGCCCCCCGTGACCCCACAACACGCTGAACTCCCGCGCCCGAAACTCCTGGACCGTGGAAAACCCTACAAAATCGAGCTCCATCCAAACGAAACCTGAATCTCAAGAAGTCGAGCTTCGGGGGAATCAACCCCAAAACCCTTACAGTAAAATGGACCTCAATCATTAGAATGTGGTTGCCTAATGTTTAGTTCCATAAACTCTATTCTGATTATTGAGGTCCCTTTATCAGGGCTACGCTACAAAGACATCATACCAAACAGTAGGAACTACACTACAGCTCCCTGTCAAAGCGCCTGCACGGCGATCCAAACATATTACTTGTATCAAATACAGCCGTTCTGAAACAATCCTGGGCCCTGGACCTTAAACCCCTACACCCTGAACCCTAAAACCTGGCTGAAAGGCGACCGACAGTCCGGTAGCCGTAGACTCCCTGTAGGCCATAAACCACCAAGAGGTTCTGTTAATGTAGGGGCGTAAATAATTACCTGTACCATGTTGGGGGTTCTGTATTGTGATTATAGTATAATGGGCCCCAAACCCTCTAATTATGAAGGCCCCTATAGATATAATGGAATCCTTGTATAGATCCCCTATACCCCCCTTTAAAGGAACCCTTCAAAGGAACCCCTATTCTATTTATTCAGGCCCCTACATCAGGTCCCATGATCCTTCAAAAAACCAGGGGCTCCATGTGGAGCAGGGCAGAAGAAGGCGTTTAGGCGAGTTTCTGAAGAAAACCCTTAAGCCCTAAACCCCTAAACCCTATACCCTTAAACCCTAAGCCCCTCTAGATCCCTTTAAAGGAGCCCTAAACACCTATAAGTAATAGGGAAATGAGTAGACAAAGAAATAGGTAAAGAAGTACATACGTCTTTGTATGTATACACATAGTCTCACACACACACACAGACAGACAGGCACACACGCACACACACACACACACACACAGAGACAGACAGACACACACACACACACACACACAGACAGACAGACACACACACACACACACACACACACACACCCACACCCACACCCACACCCACACCCACCCCCACGCACGCACACGCACACACACACACACACACACACCCACACCACACCCACACCCACACCCCCACACACACACACACACACACACACACACACACACACACACACACACACACACACACACACAACACACACAACACACACACACAACACAACACAAACACACACACAACACACACACACACACAACACACACACACACAACACACACACCACGCACACCACACACACACACACACACCACACACACCACACACTCACCACAGACACCACACACACACACCACACACACACACACACCACACACACACACACACACACACCACACACAACACACCACACACACCACACAC